TACATGATGTATCTCACGAAATAAGTCATTATATGAAAGATGATAGGATTTCATGTCATATCGAAATTAGAAAGCCGTTCTGGTCTGTGCAGTGTTTTTGTGCCGGCGGCACCTATTCGTCCTGTTGTGAAGTTGTGTGGCGCTTATGTGCCAGCGAGTGCGAGTCATTTACTTTTCCTGTCGTGAAGTTGTGTTCGTTTTTGTATACCAAATCAAAAATCCACGAACAGGGAATTAGCCATCAGGAACAACGCCTCTCATCCGCTTCATGGGACTGTTACTGGGCAGCGGAGCACATTTAGCAACAAACTGCTCCAGCTCCGGTGTTCAAGGGAACGTTTCCGCAGGTCTTTCCTCCCGGCGGCTGTCAGGGTGTATAACGCTGCCCTAGGCTAGGACTGTTCGCCCTTCATCTGCTCCTCTATGGACAGCATGTTTACTCCATTGTACTTTTTGGACAATCAGTCTGTATAAACCTACGCACACTTTGCACATATTTTATTGTTTCTACAGTGACTATGATCAGCGCATTTTCCACACACCCGTGTATACATTTATTTTATATTTAGACCAGACAGATCGACAGAGCTGTAGCACTGCTGTCAGTCGACAAGAAACGTCGCTGTTCAGAACACCCGGTCAACTGTCACTCTCCAGAAACTCACACTGGGCGACGGCACCCATGAACTTTTGCTCTTCAACGAGGACGAGCTGACGTGTTGCGAGCTCTTTTCTGAAAACGACAGCCCTGTTAAACGTCATTCTGAAACACAGGCGTAAAATTGTTTTTATTGTTTTTACAGTGACTACGATCAGCACACTTTGCACACACCTATGTATTTATTTATTTTTATTTATCTGGTTTGTCTTTTGTTTTATAACTATTCTGATCTCTGTTTTTGCTCGTCTTGGGCTGAACTGCTGTAACACATCGATTTCCCTACGGGATCTATCTAAGAAACTCCTGTTGCTTTACATTTTTTTTACTTTTTTGTTTGGTAGATGAGGTCTAGAAAGTGTCTCCCGATTTTCTAAAGTGGGTGTTGAACAGTCCAAAAAAAAAAAAAACATCCTCAAGTGTTTTTTACAGGGGATTATCGTCAGTGGCTCGCTAGACAGATATTTCTGAACTGTGGCGCAGTATTTCTGCTTCTCAAAACACAGGTTCGAGGGCCCCCTCAAGCAGACACTAAAAATATCGTCTTTTTTGAAGGCAGATGGGTTGTAACTCTGTGAAACACTCACGCAGTTCAACCGCAAAACAATACAATAGAATTACACGGTATCGCCTCCGCTCTGCCTTCTTAGCGAGCCAATCAGGAGTTTCCATTCTCAGCATCTCTGAAACCAATCAGGTGTGTCTATAATCGCCTGTCTCTGCACCAATCGAGCGGGTCTGTGGCCTTCTCTGCGAGCCCATCAGGAGAATAAGACTCACTGGACTGGGGGGCCCCTGAGCTACAAGACTCACAGGATTCGGGGTCAGTGTCTGATTCTGTAGGAAACGTCTTATTGAACTGCTGCACAAGCCTATTGCAAAGGGACACGCCGTTCAATAATTCTTCAAGTGCGGTTTGGAAAAGGCACTTCTTTACAAGAACGGGGAGGCGCTTCTTTACACAGAGGGTGGTGGGGGTGGGGAACAAGCTGCCCAGCCCTGTGGTTGAAGCCGATACCCTGGCTTCTCTCCAGACACTGCTGGGTGAGCTCCTCCGGTCAGGACAGGAGGCATTTTTTTTACACGGAGGGTGGTGGGGGTGGGGAACAAGCTGCCCAACCTTGTTGTTGAAGCTTAGCCAGTTGTTTCTTGAAAGACGCCAGGCTAGGAGATCCTCAGATCAATAAACTCCTAGCTAACGAGCAGGACAGATCAGACGAATGGCCTCCTCTCGTTTGTAACTCTTGATATCAGTGATATTTTTGTCCCAGTGGGGCAGAATCGTCCTCTCTGCTCCTCCAGCCTGGCCTGTCTCCCTCCACCCCTTCAGTCTGTTTCCACAGCCCCAGAGCAGAGAGCACCCGCAGGGCTTCCAGACAAGACACACCCCTATTCTACAACTGTGCCCCAGAAACACACACTGACTTTCATCTTCTGCCCTGAGATTTTTCTTTTTTACAAGCCTGTGTGAGAATTCCACGCGAGCTGTCTTTAAATTCTCACGTAGAAACACCTGCATCTCCACCAGA